TGATCAAATATTTGTGTATCTCCAAATACTATTCCTCATGGGTATCTAGGCCACACAACTTCAAAATAAATACTTCAATATTTTAAAAAATCTTCAAGTTAGTTTCTATTCTCTATATTTGAAGTTCTCTATATTTGGAGTTCTCTATATTTGTGTTGTGTGCACATTTTATAAAGACCATTTTACGTTGTTTGAATTAACAATGTTGATTGAAGAACATTTTTAAAATCTGAACCATTTTTAATGTTTTGAGATAATTTGAATATTTTTGTGCATGTGAGGGGAGAACATTCACAGGAAGGAAGGATTTGAAAAAAATGAATGAAACAGGCATATATGAGAACAGATGTTACTTCTTTTACTATTGCAAAGCAGTTTTATAAAGAGCCACATCATCCCCATTTTCTGGAAGAACATCTTGGAAAGAAGTTAACAGTGTAGCTCTACACATATTTACAATGAAAGACGAACCTATGTCCTTACTTTATCTCAGTGGTGCATTGTTGTTGTGTGCCATAAAGTTGTTTCTGACTTATGGTGACCCAAAATCAGAATTATCATGGGCTTTTCTTGACAAGATTTGTTAAAGGGAGGAAGTATAAGATTGAATGTGAATTCCCAAGGGCACCCAGTAGGTTTCCGTCATTGAGTAGGGATTCAAACCCTAGTTTCAAGAGTCTTAATTCAATGCCCAAATCTCTATACCAAACTGTGTCTTAGTGGTATTTATTTACTACAAGATATTGTGTTCCTGAAGGATATGGGATTGGATTGGATTGGATGGCCAACATGTCCCATCCTCCCTGATTTTATGATTCTATGTAGTATTAACCACATTCAAAGCCAACAGATACCAGGAGATAAAATTTTGTGTACTGAAAAAGCTTGGAAAATCTGACCAGTGTGGCAACCTCATATCTAGGCAGGCAGCTACTGCGGCAGACTGTATCCAAAGAGGACCAAGGAGTATCTTGAAGATCACAAAGAGTCCTGTTTCCGTTTGGTTGCTTCTGAAGAATGAGAAATATTTCCTTGGGCCCCTGTACAGAAGATTTATAAGATGTGTGTGGATTTTTGTAATTAAATAGCTTTTACAGAAAAAAAACCTTGTAAAAAATATTCGCATTTTCAATGGCCCCTACCACACCTGCCTGCCCCCCCTCCCCATCCTTGGATTTGATCTAATGACATTTTAGGAAACTCAGTGATGTATTTTGGTGCAGCGCTGTAGTGAAAGCCAATGTGGTATACTAGTTAGAGAGTAAGACCGCATCTTGAGAAATCCTGGTTGTTGCTCCTATTAAGCCATTCAGTAGTCATGGCTGGGCCAACCTTGTTGAATGGTTGTGTTGTACAGTGGGGAGAGTAAATGCATGACCGTGAAATCATTAGAAGAAGGAGAGATTCCAATGAAAATGTGGATATTGTACACTTACATCCGTTAAAATGTAGTGATGAAGAATAATGTACCCATCAATATACTATATTCTTAATAACTCAGTCATTGTGACTCATCACCTCACTTTAATCAGAAGAACTTAGAAACAATTCAATGGCAGGAGAGCTCAAATTGTAACTGCCATACTTAGAAAGTTGCAGTATAGTTGTATCCACATTTGCCAATATCCTTTAGTATATTCTAAAAAATATGTGGAATCCTCATTGGAGGGTTTTGAGCAAACATCTGTCAGGGATTCTGTAGATATAGAATAATTGGTCTTGCGGGAGATAAGAACATGATCCAACCTGTGAGCTTCATGTTTCTAGGTGGCTGACTCATAATAGCTGCATATTGTTAGAATTAGTTTCTCCCTCTTTTAGTCTTATGTTGTTTATTTCAATTTATTCCGGTCTCCTTTTCCCCCCACGTAACCAATTAAGTATAATGTGTCCCTTTTGGTATCTTAGTCATGTTGATTAGGTTGTTCATTCCAAACCCAGCTGTTACCTTGAAATCACTGGCATTTCTCTGTGTGCTCATCATAGCCATTGAAGCTGGCAAGAAAATGCAAACTTTCTGCCTTGAAAATGTATCTTCAAATTTGTGTAATATTTCTTATACACTTTTGATGTCTTAAACTCAATGTCCCTTAAATTTGTGTATCCTAGCCTATTCCCTAAATACTGCAGTGCTCGCTTTGATTATCTAGTTCCAGATCTGCCACCTCTCTTCAAACTGGTATGTGTGCATACTGGGGAGTGAAAATGGCACAACATTCTAATAATTCCCAATTGTATGTACAATATTGCAGCATATTATGAAAGCTTTCTGCCTTATTTAAAGGTAAGACTGCTTATTCCTACATTGTACGCTGTTTTTATGACCATTTAATCTGACTATATGGTATGCCTATCTGGCTTTGTATAAAGTTTCATATTATTGCTAATAAAACATGACAGTGGTACTTGTCACGAAGCCGTTCAGTCCCAGTTTCGAATCAAGTTGGTGGAACATATTGAACATAGATAAGAAAATACATATCTTAATGTAGCTATTTTTCCAAAACATTATAAGTGATGACTCAGTTGGATAGCTCTCTGTTCCAGAGAAGATTGTGCACATGTGAAAAGAGGATGGTATTCATACATTGAGAATGGACAAGGTAATTAAGTGCTCATTACAGGAAGGAAATCATTTATTACATTCAGTGGATGTTCAATGATGTGCAAATATCATTGCCATCTTACATGTGAATGAGGATGTGCATTCAAACTGGACTCTTACTGAAAATATACAAAACTTGCACATCCATCCCATTTGCACTAGTGGTTCTAGGACAAGTGTGAAAAACTGGTATTCACTGGGGAAATGATGTATTTGATGAATATCTACATGCATACTAAGTGATGTTCCAGTTGTGTATTCCTTATCAGAAATGAGAAATGCTTGGGACCAGAAATGTGTGTGTGTGTGTATACAACTGCTCATTGGAGGGAAGGATATTAGAGGCAAAGTTGAAGTACTTTGACCACATCAGTACTTTGACAGGAAAGCTTAGAGAAGACAATTATGCTGGGGAAAATGGAAGGAGAAAGGAAGAGGGGCCAACCAAGGGCAAGATGGATGGATGGCATCCTTGAAGTGACTGGCTTGACTCTGAAGGAGCTGAGGGAGGTGACGGCCAACAGGCAGCTCTGGCGCAGGCTGGTCCATGAGGTCACAAAGAGTCAGAAATGACTGAACGAATGAACAACAACAACATGCATATCTACATGCATATTAAGTGATGTTCCAGTTGGGTATTCCTTATCAGAAATGAGAAATGCTTGGGACCCGAAATTTGGGTGTGTGTTTGTATGTGTGTGTACATTTAACCAATGAAAAGCAAGGGTGTCACTCTCTCAGCCACTCATGTGGACAATTTTGGATTTTGTAGTATTTTGGATTTCGGAATTCCAGATAAGGGATGCTTAACTTGCATTAATATAAAAGCAATCTAGAAATGTCCTCCAAATTCTGCTATACTTGCAAAAAAATAAATAAGAATTACCAAATGTCATTAGGATCTTTAACATCTGTTGTGTGAAAAAAAGGAAGGGTGTTCAAGCACATGTGATAAATTGGTAAGTTTGCCCCATCCCACCACTCTTCCCATGCTCGGTAATAATGAACAGGAATTACTAAATTATGCACAGGATAGCTTTGAAACTTACTCCATCCCAGTAATCATCTTCATCAACAACCAAATATTCTGCCCAACCCCTCTGTGATTTGATCCAGAGTTCGTTGGTGCAAATTAAAATGACCCAACTGAGCTCCTTGCCCGTATCTATCCTGAGCCATTATTTAAAACTGCCTGCCAAAGGATGAATGACTACAATACACAGACTTGCCCATACAATTGCAGAGGATATTGATTTCCTTTACAGTTCACATTCATCATTCGTAGTCCGAGACCTGGGTATTCTGTGAAATTGGATTGATGCCATCATGTAGTTTCTTGCATGTGTAATTGAAAAAGAAAGGGGGAACGGAAAGAAGCGGTGGTGGGAAAATTGTCAATTAATTGCTTTTTCCAGATGACTCAGATTCTTAAAAGCAGCTATTTTGATCAGTTTTTTTCTCCCTCCCTGCCTCTTTTCAACTGTTTTGCAGCACAAAATCACAGACCTACCTAGGATAAAGGCTATAGTCTTTTGGGAAACAGTTAGATAATTCTACTACCTCTACCACTTCCACCACACTTGCTGACTTTGTTCACACCACACATACACACACACATACACACACACACACCTTTGTGTAGAAAACCTGCAAAAGAGCTCTGGGGTGATTGAAACCTTGAACCTTGTTCAGCACCACACATTAAATTGGTAAAATATTATTTTCCCTTTCAAGTGCTCTGAGGCAACCATGACATACACTCCAAACCAAATCACCTATATGTTGATCTTCCTTCCATTCACTATTTTGTGTGAATGACCAGTTTTCCTTGCTGCTCTTTGAAAGCCACCCATCTGACACATTCTTTAATAATTATATTCTACTTTTTGTTTATCATTTCTTTTTTAAAAAAACTGGATGCTCTAAGAACAGGTTGAAATCTTACTCCCTGGAGAGGGCAGCAACTGTTCTCCACGCTGATACATTGAACGGAAGAAAGAATGCGTGTTTGAATTAATGTGAAGTGAAAGAAAATGCTGAAAGGACTCCACAGCAAAACTGAACACATAAGCTCCTACCTGTCTGAAACTTATTATCAAATGGACCCCATGCATAATCAATTTAGGAGCAAATGCAAGAAGTGTGGAATTAAAACACACACCTTTCAAGTCAGAATCCAACTATTCCAGGCAAAGGAGTTCTTTGCTTGGAATACTTTCAGAAATGTATTCCAATCTTCTTTTTTGCTGCTTGCTTTAGCTTTTTTTTCTGAACTGAACCTTCCCCCCACCCTCCTTCCCTATGGATATGGCAATATGAATGCCAAAAATAACAGCCCTTAACAGACTTTGAAGTTTGTTTGTGAATCCAAGGATAAGAGAAGAACATCACTCACCTTTATTTTCCCTGGTGGAGGTGGCTATTTGTTCTCAGTGCTCTGCTGTCCACTGCTGATCGAGTGCTGCCTTCTCTCCTCTCTGCCTGTTACTGCTAGCTCCCGTGCTGGCTCTGCTTGTATTCAGAGCTTCTGCTCCTGTTCTTTCTCTCTCTCCCTCTCTCTCCCTCTCTCTCTGCATCACTTTTAACTTAGGCAACTAGGAAACCGAAGCCAGAGGTACCCTGTATCTGATTGGTTTCCACTCCAAACCCCTGATTAATAACAACTGTCCCTCACAGATGAAGAGCAATTGCTGCTGATGAAGATCCAGCCAGTGCTCAAATGTGAGGAGGTTTGGAAAATGAGTGGGGAAGGTGTGCAGTGCATGTGAGTGATGTGCATGTGTAGGAAGGGGGGGGGGGCTTGGCTGTATCAAATACAGAGTGATTTGCAAGTGAATGAAGGAGGAGGGCATAAAGAGTTTTTTGACAAGAACTCCCCTTGTTCTTTGCCTGAAGTCTCATGACTAAGTCTCATTTAATCTGTTCAGCCCTTTTCCGGGAAGAAGGGGCATTCATAACTGCAGCCTGTAAATCAGCTGGACATCAGATTTTTATTACCCTAGTCCTCTCTCATTGTGAGTCAGTGCCAACTGGGAACTCAGTATTACCCTATAGGTCAATACTACCCTGTGCATCCAGCGTGCTTAATGCCCTTCACATGTAAAGAAAGAAAAAACTTTCTCATTTATGCTATTTGTTTTTAATTTCCATCACCAAACAAAGGAGAAGGAGGAAAAAAGAAGGCTGAGAGTTTTAGGTTCTAAAACATTAACATATGTTTCTGAAAATGAATACTATTACTTGAAAATTGTTCCTAATATCATGTTTCTGAATTGGATTCTGATAAACTGGTTTGATTTATGATTTTGTTTCTGTTCACCCATACTACTGAAAATCTCCGCATAAACATATAGCTATGCTAGTGCCTTCATCTCTCAAAAGCCAGTACAAATAGCTCAAAATTGCCCAGCCAATTTCCACATTTTACTGTGGAGTGCTTGTCACAGACCCAAAGACTAGATGGGTTATCAGTCTGTCATATGGGTTGTATGGGCATAAGCCTCTCTGCTGGCAAATATCTATTGCAGTGATTGGAAGAGGACTTAGTCATACCTACTGAAAATATATTTTTTTGTTGTTGGAGAAGCAAAAAGAAAAATAATGGGATAGCATTTTGGTCAATTCTGATACCAAGGTGGAATGGGATATGATATCTATGCAATTTTCTGCATAGTTTAGAGACCTCAGACAAAGGAATACATTCTGCCACCATTAGTATCATTGTGTTGTCTTATTCTTCACCAGTACAACCCAATGACCTAACAAGTAACTTTCCATATTCATGTTTGGCTCATGAGTAAAAGAAGTCAATTGATTAAAAAGGTATACTTCATATTATTGTTATTGTTCATTTGTTCAGTCATTTCCGACTCTTTGTGACCTCGTGGACCAGCCAACGCCAGAGCTCCCTGTTGGCCATCACTACCCCCAGCTCCTTCAAGGTCAATCCAGTCATTTCAAGGATCCCATCCATCCATCTTGCCCTTGGTTGGCCCCTCTTCCTTTTTCCTTCCACTTTCCCCAGCATAATTGTCTTCTCTAAGCTTTCCTATCTCCTCATGATGTGGCCAAAGTACTTCAACTTTGTCTTCCCTCCAATATCCTTCCCTCCAATGACCATTCGGGCCTTATTTCCTGAAGTATGGACTGGTTGGATCTTCTCACAGTCCAAGGCACTCTCCGAATTTTCCTCCAGCACCACAGTTCAAAAGCATCTATCTTCCTTCGCTCAGCCTTCCCTGTGGTCCAGCTCTCACATCCGTAGGTGACTATGGAGAATACCATTGCTTTAACTATGTGTATATTTGTTGCCAGTGTGATGTCTCTGCTCTTCACTATTTTATCAAAATTGGACATTGCTCTCCTCCCAAGAAGTAAGTACTTCCTGATTTCCTGGCTGCAGTTGTTGTGGCAGGAAGAGGATGATGAGTTTCAGATTCCTGAACATGTTCCTATTGTTGATACAAATGATGTTGATGCTGAAGACGAGGAGTTCCAGATTCCCATGAGAAGGGATGTTGTCTTAGAAAATGTTTCTGATCTTAGTAAAACTTCACAGGTGCAGGAGGAGGTGAACCAGCTTGTGAGTAGGAAGAGGATGATGAGTTTCAGATTTCTGAACATGTTCCTATTGTTGATACAAACGATGTTGATGCTGAAGACGAGGAGTTCCAATTTCCCATGGGAAGGGATGTTGTCTTAGAAAAAGTTTCTGATCTTAGTAAAACTTCACAGGTGCAGGAGGAGGTGAACCAGACTGTGAGCTCTCTGCCTGCTGATTCTCAGGCTGGTGATTCCCAGCTCCAGGATAATGAGTTATTCAACCTTGAAGGCTCTGCAGATTTAGACAGGGTGGATCGCTTGCAATTCAGGGTTCACCGTAGTACAAGGCTTACAAACAAGAGAGAGGTTAGAGGTCAAAGAAATGCTTTCATGCTGGGAAAGCATATTTAGTGAGCTGATTGAAGGTGACCTTTTGTCAGTGCAACTTCAGCAAACACCCTGATAACGTCTTTGGATTGCTTGGGATCTTGGCTTCTTGGGACTCTATCATGCTGCCATGGAATCTTGTTTGATCAATGCTTATGGATTATGCTTCATGTTATTTGCTTTTGGACTTTGGAAACTCTGCCTTTGCATTTAAGACTGTTTGGCTATTGAACTTTTGCAACTTTACTTTTGTGTTTAAGACTTTGCCTTTTCTTTAATAAACTACAAAACCTACAGCCTTGGTGTGTGGTGTTCTGAGCAAGGTGAATCTGTCCTGAGGTGTGACAGCAGTCTGCATCTTCAGTAATCTTTGCACCTAGAAATACAAAGTCTGTCACTGCCTCTACGTTTCCCCCCTGTATTTCCCAGTTGTCAGTCATTCTTGTTGCCATAATCTTGGTTTTTTTTTATGTTTCACTGCAACCCAGTTTTTGTGCTTTCTTCTTTCACCTTGATTAGAAGGCTCCTCAGCTCCTCCTTGCTTTCGGCCATCGAAGTAGTGTCATCTGCATATCTAAAGTTGTTAATGTTTCTTCCAGCAATTTTTACCCCAGCCTTGCATTTGTCAAGCCCCGCACATCGCATGATGTTCTGCATACAAGTTGAATAGGTTGGGTGAGAGTATACAACCCTGCCGTATGCCTTTCCCAATCTTGAACCAGTCTGTTGTTCCATGGTCAGTTCTTACTGTTGCTACTTGGTCCTTATACGGATTCCTCAGGAGAGAGACAAGGTGATTTGGTATGCCCATACCACCAAGAACTTGCCACAATTTATTATGATCCACACAGTCAAAGGCTTTAGAATAGTCAATAAAACAGAAATAGATGTTTTTCTGAAACTCCCTGCCTTTCTCCATTATCCAGCAGATATTGTCAATTTGGTCTCTCGTTCCTCTACCTTTTCTAAACCCAGCTTCAACATCTGGCAACTCTCGCTCCATGTATTGCTGGAGTCTTACTTGCAGGATCTTGAGCATTACCTTACTGGCATGAGAAATAAGGGCCACTGTACGGAAGTTTGAGCAGTCTTTCGCATTTCCCTTTTTTGGTATGGGGATATACGTTGATTTTTCCAGTCTGAAGGCCATTCTTGTGTTTTCCATATTTGCTGGCATATGGCATGCATCACCTTGACAGTATCCTCTTTCAAGAATTTAATCAGTTCAACTGGGATCCCGTTGTCATACTTCATATTATGGAGTCGTAATGCTTCATATTATGCCGTGGTTAAATTAGTGATTACTTGTTTCTCATCATTTGTTTGTAACTATTGCCATGCATTTCAAATAGCAATTCTTGAACTACATGAAAGTCTGTCTTTACACATGGAGACTGAATGCAACAGTGAATGATAACTATTATTATTATTATTATTATTATTATTATTATTATCTTTATTTGTACCCCGCTAGCATCTCCCACAGGACTCGATGCGGCTTACATAGGCCAAGGCCTCAAAACACAATGCAACAGTACAATACCTAGCACAAATTAAAACAGTTAAGCAGAAATAAACAACAGCAATAACAATACATCAAAACATCAAGACAATATAATACTGGGCCAGGCCAGAAAATGGGTACAAGATTAAAAGTGCTGATGTGGCAGGAGGTATGTAGGATTAAAAAGTAAGTGTGGTGTGCGGTGTGTACTGATCTTAGTTCTATAAAGTGCTTCTAGGACTTGGTATTGGAGGTTCCTAATCTGAAAAGGCATATCGGAACAGCCAGGTCTTCAAGTTCTTTCTGAAGACTACCAGCAAAGGGCCTGTCTAAGGTCTTTTGGGAGGGCGTTCCAGAGTCGGGGGGCCACCACAGAAAAGGCTCTGTCTCGGGTTCCCCACCAAGCGCGCTTGCGACGCGGGTGGGATCACGAGCAGGGCCTCTCCAGATGACCGGAGTGAGCGTGTGGGTTCGTAGATGGAGATGCGGTCACGCAGGTAGGGTGGTCCCAAACCGTTCAGGGCTTTGTAGGTAAGCACCTGCACCTTAAATTGGGCTCGGAAGATAAATGGCAGCCAGTGGAGCTCCTTGAACAGGAGGGTTGACCTCTCTCTGTAATGAGCCCCAGTTAACATCCTGGCTGCTGCCCGTTGGACCAGTTGGAATTTCCGAGCCGTTTTCAAGGGCAGCCCCACGTAGAGCGCATTGCAGTAGTCCAATCTAGAGGTGACCAAGGCATGGACCACCCCGGCCAGATCAGCCTTCGCAAGGTACGGTCGCAGCTGGGCACACGAGAGATTGTGTATAACTGTGGTTTTCAAACATCAGGGAGCATCTTTCAATCAAAGTTAACACTGAAAAAAACTATTCATAGGGATTGTCACATGAAATAAAAGATTCTGGAAAAGCTAAACTTGCTGTACTCAAAATTCTTATCAGGCCCATTTTTCCTGTCACTATATGTACTTCAAAACACACATAATACTCATATATTTGAAATGAAATAAAAGCAAATAATGAGTAGTAAGTGGCTATCTTTCAGGGAAGATTGTTCACCCCTCCCTGATAATCTTAGTGGGAAACCCCTTATGTATTTTCAAACCAGAGGGTTCCCCAGAATGTAATTTGCAAGCCGCTACTTTTCAGCATTTTAGAAGTTTGTTGCTTTATTGGTCTTGGAGGACCAATAAAAACTATGGGTATTATTCAAAGGGAGCATAATTCACTTCTAATTGCCTGAATGAGCAAGCAATGTGACGCACAAAGTCTGAGCAGGATGTTTTCTTGTATAAGCCAAAAAGGAACATGGAATATTGGCTGAAAATGTGGTGCAAATTATAGAGATACCTTTGAG